AAATATTTCAGACTGACCTAAGCAAATGAAACCAGAACTGCAGTGGCAACTATAGTAGTTCAAACAATGTTACAGAAGAATGAAGCAGTATCACAATCTAAGGCACGATTCTGGAATAAAGTGACAGGTAATTTAGCTATTAGCATATGAATAGGAAGATGGATGGAGTATTAGCAATGTCAGTTCGGACAAGAAAAGAGTAATGCTCAATTAACTCTCTAAATGAACAAACACAACGTGTTTTTTTAACTCAAACCACAGTTTTGGCAGCAAATGGGTGAGGGCATGCTGTTGCTTTATCCTTTGTGTGGTCTCCCAGTGTTAACATCTGTTCTTCTCCAGCTGTAAAAAAGAATAAATTTCATTCTCATGGCTGGGGAAGGCAAAAGAACTCCTTGTCCTGAGCACCTGCAGAGAGATCATATCTCCATCAACTTTCCTGCTGTCCATCAGCCTCAAGAAACCTTCAAGCTGCACTGAAGTTGACACTAACCCCAAGTCTCTCCCAGCCAGCACCTGCTAGGACCCTACCCCTGTGGGGACTTGTCACACTCAGAGCAGAGGGAACTGACCAAAACCTCCTGAGAGCAGAGAGAAAGGTGGGATTTCTCACCTACTCTGTGGTGGATATTTTCCATAGCTTTGCTTTGGCTTTTGTCTAGTTCAATACAGAATCACTGACCCTTGGGAATATCTAGGTCCTATATAGAATAAGGTATTAACTTTGCATGCTCTGAATTGCTTGCTGGAGGATCTTTCCATTAGTCATAAAGGAAGCCAATGCACCTACTTTGGGCTTTTTGAATATCCTGCAATGCCATCTTCTGTATTCTTCTGTATTAAGATTCCTAATTTCCAGGTAAATCCCTATTTCATCAGAATTTAGGCAACCTAGTCTTTTAAAGCCTTGCTTTTAAACCTTTTGCCATTTTACCTCTTGGACTGTCCCAAGATGCTGAGATAGAGGTCCAAAACCACCAAGGGATTCCATAAAAGAAGGGTTTGATAATCTGGCAGAGATACCTCACCTTCAACTGAAGCAATTCCTAGCCATTCCCTTTGAGATTGTTAGGAATTTTGGGTACAACCACACAATCCAGCACAATCTAAGCATAACAAGTTACCTTTTAAACCCGAAAGAGTATAAACTAATGAACTTTACCTTTTGAAAGGACAATCTAACACAGTATTGCAGCACATAGTAGAGGTAGTTATACAGTGAATTTCAACATTGCTCATTATCAGCTGTTGCCTAAATCCAGCTTCTGAATTTTTATATATCAAATCCGGAGCTGGAGTTCCCCACACGCCACTCCTCTTCTACTTATTAATCCTGTTTCATATACTCAAGTTTGAATTTGATGGCCTTGTAGTTTTCTGCAAGGTATGCTTCAGCTGGAATTATTGTCGCTTCAGCTGGAATTATTGTCACTTCAGAAACACAGAAAACAGGGAGAAGAATTTGTAATATGTTATTAAAGTAATGTGTAACACTAAAAATTCAAAGATACACCCCTCACTCCAATGCTATAGACACTTTAAAATTATTTTCAGTAGCATATAAACGTAGAGATTGTGCTTTTCACTGTAATTCTGGCAAGGAGATTTGTGATCATGCTGGGTGAGTCCCTTGTATGCTTCTGTGGGCTTGGGTTTTTTGAAGGAGAGAACATAGGGTAGAGTAAGGTGGTGGCAAATGTCTTGCTGGCCTGAGGAGAAACTTATTTACAGCCATTTAGATGTTCATTGAAAGCATAGTTTGTTTGTGCCAGGATCAGAACAGAGCTCTGGGGGACCTCAGATATTCCTGTGAACAGAAATAAATAACATGGAAAGGGAACCTCAGATATTCTTGTGAACAGAAACAAATAACATGGGAAGAACCACCATCAACAATTGCACCACACTGGGTGATTTTAAGTCAAAGCATTTACCCAGCTAATTGTAGTTCAGCTTTCAGCAACAAAAGTGCTCAAGTATTCTGTTTGTTTCATTCAGGAATACTTTCAAGGCGAGAAGTGACCCCTGGATTATAAATTAATTGTGAAGAATTTCACATCTTGCACTTAAAGCATGCTTTTCAGTGGTGTTTGTTTGTTTAATTTGAATATAAGAGCAGATTGTCTTTCACTTCCCAGGACAATCACCCTTCTGAATTTTTACCAGTGGACAAGCGCTGTTTAATCAGCTACTTTTGCTCTGAGTTGCATTGTCTAGTTTAATCTTTGATTCCTGTTATGCTTTTATCCACTAGCTTAAAGAGCCTATTAATACCTGTTGTTATATCCCTGTGATGGTCCTTACACAATGTAATCATATCACCTCCCTTCTTGAGAAGCTGAATAGATTGGGCACCTGAAATCTCTCCCTGGAGAGGAATTACTTCTCATTATTTTTAGGGTTCTTTTCTTAACCTTCTCAAGCATTTCAATATCTTTTTTTTTTTTTTTAAATGTACATCCCAAAACTGGATAGCTTCCAATATTTATCTCACTGGTGTTTCATGCAGAGAGAAAATCGCTTCCCTATTCCTACTCGATACTCCTCTGAAACATCCGAGGCTAGCTGCATCCTCATTAGGCCCCTTTTCCCTAGGAGTATAGCAAAATTCCTTCCTCCTCTGACCCCCAAACCCTTCCCTGTGTGTACTGCTCCACAGTAGCTGGCAGCTTCAGTCCCCTAGAGCCGTGTTTTTGCATTAAGCTCTATTAAAGGACATTCTGTTTCAACCAAGTTCATCTTATCTTGTCCGTAATAGGTTATCCATGTAATGAGAATGTCATGTATCATTTTCAAAAACCCGCTGCAGACATGGTTGTGTAACTTTACTAACCACACTGATAATTTCCTCACAAAAACATGAATCATGTTTGCTTGGCAGGTCACTTCCCATAAAAACAGACTTTATCCCCATATATTGGATTTTTTCTCTCTTGTTTTTCTTGGGGTTGGTTAATGTTAGGCTAATCAGCCTGTCACCATAATTAGCTTTCCTGGATCTTATCAGGAAACTGACCACTAAATTTTTCCAGATATTCCTATTTTGCCAAGATTTCCTTGAAGCAGTCCCAGAGAGCTGGCACTCTTGCCCTTTCTTTTGGGATTCATGTGTCATTTTTCTGGGTGTGTTGGTTTTTATATGTTCTTAGGAAAAGTTTTTTAATATCTCTTTTATGAGTCAATAATCTGGCAAACACATTTTTCTTTCCAAATACAATCTTGAAATATTTATTAATAATTTATACCTTTTTTAATCCTCCTCTTCTAATAATACTCCTTATGATTCTAAATACACAAATGCTTTATTGCCCATAGCCCTGACATGGGACTGGATTTTCAAAGGGCATGGATTTTCCCCTTACAGCTTTTGCTTCCATGATGAAATCTCAACACTTTCTAATTAATGTTGATTGCCATCTACTTTTGTCTTTCAATGTTAGTTCTACATGGTAATTTTTTCTTCTCAGTTGCTGATTTTGCTTTTCCAAAAATGGGGTTTCAGGTAAAATTTTCCTCTTGCTTGATAGTAAAATTTTTGGTAAACCACCATATTTCCCTGTAAATATCTCTATTTTATTTCCCTTACTCGCGTGAACATTTTTCTCCCAAATGCACATTTTTCAGCTTTGGGGAAATACCTTTTTCAAAGCAGTATGAGTGTGTGTGAAATATAGTTAAGGTCGCCTCCTGTTTGCTTGAATCAATGGCAGCTATGAACATATACCAGAAACAGGAGAATATCGACACAAGCAAGGACTCATCTGAATGAAAGTGAATGGTATTTCTAGCAGCGGATTTTAATGACAAAGGGCCTAAAATAGGCACCACCTAATTAATCTTGTGAGATATCCTTCTGTTACTGAATACGGAGATGGAGAAGTGGAATTTTTGCCAGTCATTTGCGATAGTATAGACAGGCATAGAGTCAGTTGTGTTTCGATTCTTTTGAGAGGCGTCAGGGTCGTGGCAAAAATTCTTTCGGGGTGTTTCACACTCCAAAAATCCCCAGATCCGGGCTTTCTCCTAGCCAAAATGAAACATATTGTTTAACCATCGGTGCCCGCGGAGTTTGGGTATTTCCAGAAAGCGGCTTTCGAGGCTTTGCCTTCGAGGTTCTCTGTGTTCCTGCGAGTTACACCTGAGTTTGGTAAACTCGCCTGTCAGAAAAAGAGGGGAAAACACCAAAACCCACGTTGAAGCCGGGGCTCGGAGGTGGCGCGGACCGCCCGCCCGGCACCCGCTCCCAGGCTGCCGGCGCTCCCACGCGGCCCTCGGAACCGTCCCGGCCGCCCCATTGCCGAAAGGTGGAGCCCCCGAGCCGCTCCCGCCGCCGGCGCTGCCCCCGCCCGCCCCGGGGAGCGCAGCCCCTCCGATAGACCGGGGAGAGAGCAGTCCCTCCTCCGGGCAGCCCCTCCGACAGACCGGGGAGAGAGCAGCCCCTTCTCCGGGCAGCCCCTCCGACAGACCGGGGAGGGCAGCCCCTGCGCCGGGCAGCCCCTCCGAGGGACCGGGGAGGGCAGCCCTTCCGCCGGGCGGCCCCTCGGATAGACCGGGTCTCGCAGCCCCTTCTCCGGGCAGCCCCTCCGCCGCGCAGCCCCATCGGCGGGGCCGGGGCGGGCACCGCGCCGCGCTCCGTGCGTGTGGAACTCCCCCCCCGCCGCCGCCGCCGCCGCCGCCGCCGCAGCCGCGCCGCCTCCTCCGCGCCTTCCCCCGGCCGCGCTGCCAGCAGCGGGGGAGGCAGCTGTGCGGGCAGGGCGAGGGAGGGCGGGAGGAAGGGGCAGGAGGGGAGGAGAAGGGAGGGAGAGGTGGAGGGCGGGGACGGGGCCAGCCCGAGGAAATCAAACGGCCCCGACATGAATTAGGCAGCGGCCGCAGAGGGGAGGGCCCCCCTCCCCCTCCGTCGGTCCCCGCACGGCGCCCGGCGGCGGCAGCGCCGCCCCGCTCGGAGCGGCGGCTCGGGGCGCGCACGCACACACGGACCGGCGGCGGCCGGGCGGGGGGGCCGGCAGATGAAGATGGCAATGTCTGTGATACAAGCGTGCCGCAGCCTGGCGCTCTCAACATGGCTGCTGTCCTTTTGTTTCGTGCATCTGCTGTGCCTGGACTTCACCGTGGCCGAGAAGGAGGAGTGGTACACGGCCTTCGTCAACATCACCTACGCCGACCCGGCGGGCGGCGGCGCCGAGCTCCGCAGCGAGAAGAGCGAGTGCGGGCGGTACGGCGAGCAGTCGCCCAAGCAGGACGCCCGCGGGCAGGTGGCCGTCTCCGCCTCGCCCGCGGACCGCTTCGCCTGCGACCCCGGCACCCGCTTCAACGCCCCGGCGCCGGGCAAGAGCTGGGTGGCCCTGATCCCGCGGGGAAACTGCACCTACAAGGACAAGATCCGCCACGCCGCCGCCCAGAACGCCTCCGCCGTCGTCATCTACAACATGGGCTCCAGCAACGCCAACGAGACCATCACCATGCCCCACGCAGGTGAGCCCCGCCGCCCCCAGGTCTGTGCGGAGTGGGCGGATGGACGGACGCAGTTTTCCAGCCCGCTCCGATGTCCCGCATCCTCGGGGTGGGAGCTGCTCTGGGAGAAGGTGTCCTCGCACCTCCTGACAGGGAGCAGGGTGGGCTGTGGGCCTCGCCGGGTGGTGGGTGCCCATCGGGGGGGTGGCACGGAGCACCTCTCCATGCTGCCATGGCAAAGGATGGACGTGCTGCTAGCACATCCATAGCAATGCACGCCGGTGGTCCAGGGGTAAAAAGTTTGGAACGTGTAAAGTTTGGGTCTAGTCGGAGAAATGGTTGGGACGCTGAGCCCAATGCGGCGCACCGGTGTTTTGTTGTGTCCCGAGGTGCTGTGTGGGATCGGGTGTGATCGAGACCTTCAGAAGAGAAGCGTGGTGGTGTAGTGCAGGCTTATCAGGAGGTGCAGTAAAGTAGGGAACACGGTGTCCACTGTCTTGGCTGCGATAGCGTAAAAGCTGTGAGATCGAGTAGGAATGTCGAGTATCTGATTTGGTGAGAACATGAGATATTTTGTCCGGGACAGGGATGGGGGAGAGTGTTTCACCCTCCCAGGTGAACGATCAGATGGAGTTAGTGCTTGCAGTGTCAGCACATGGGTGCTTGGCTCCCGACATGTGCTCGTCAGCTGGAACCAAGGCAAAATCCAGTCATTGGAAACAACCTAAACCTTGGTTTATGCCCACGAAAAAAACCCCGCCGATTTTGTAACAGTGTTTGATCTGAAATAACGTTGTTTTAAAAACAGTTCACCAGATTTATATTTAGGGGTGGTGTTTTCTGCCAGGGGTCACTGGGCTGTTATACCAGCTGCCTATGCGTGGAGACAAAATGCCACCTATTGTGAAATCTCAGTTTGGTTTCCATCCAGTAACTAATCATGCCCAGCTGTTTCATGCCAGCAGAATCTCAGCAGAGTTAGGGGTAGATTGAAACACAGAAATGCTGCAAAACAGGATGTTATTCTAATGATATTTTAAATTTTCACAGTAAACTAGCTAGCATGGATGTGCTGAGAAGCAATTTGTTGCCTAACTATGGTGCTATAATACTGCTGATGCAAAAGTAGTGCTTTTGGAACCTCTTGTGTGCAGCCTCTTTGGGAGATTAACAATTTATATTGGGCAAATTCATGTTTCTTTGGTAGGGTTGGTGGAAGATGGGGCGTTTTTTAGTGCTTTCCTTTGGGTTTGTGAGACAAGCAACTCATAACCTCTTGAGCTGCTTAAAACTGTGCTTTATAACCTGCACATGGTTTGCTAGCTGTTCAGATTATACTTCTTGCTACTTAAAGTATCTCAGATTATATACTAAGCAGTATAAAGTAGTAGGAGCTTGGCATACTTACGCACCCTCAAAGTAAAGCCCAGGCTGTTCTAAAATTTAAGATGCAGCATCGCTTGTTCTTCCGAAGCGGGTTTCTCTAAAACTGCCAACATGTTGGATCAATTAATGGCTTGCCTGTTTTTGAAGTATGCACTAAGCTGTTTTCCCACACAAATGGTGTTTTATTAAGAAACAGTGGGAGTAAAAAATGTGTCTAACCTTTTAAAATGTTAGAGCTTTGGTTTGTTTTAAAGTTCTAAGATGAAGTAAGCAGGGAAACTTTCTTACTGAAAATGGCCTCAGATATAAAAAAATATGAACATTGTATCAATTATCGTGGGGGAATCTTCTTTATGTCATATGACTCTGGAGGGTTCCTTCCAAGAATCCTTTCTGAGTATTGAATTGATACCCAGCAGTGGGATTGTACAGTACCAGAGGCTGAAATGAAAGGAAACTTGCAGAAAATAATCTGAACTTGTGGAACATGATCACTGAGACTGGAGGGCTTTGCTGATTGATTGGATGAGGTTGTCTTCATTTTAAGGATTTTTGTTCAGCAAAGTTGAATAATGATTACCTTAGAGAAAACCTGCCCTCTGCACACAGTCAAAACTGAGAGGAGTTTTAGAGCCTCAGTCTGCTGGAACAGGAGGAAAAACAATTATTCTTAAATATTTGGCAAACTAGCAAGGATTCAGAACTGGATTTATCTTTACTCTCCCTCTGGTACCACTGTTACGGTGGGACAGAGTGAACATACAAGCTGTGCAAAATTATGGCTGCAAGTTTCTGACTTGCAGCCTTTGACATCTGCTTGTTCCCAGTCTAAACGATAGCACAAGATTCAAGGGAAGAATGAATCAGGTTCTTGCTTTCTGAGTTCAGCAGCATCTGCAGTGCTCTGCCCACGCCAAATCCTGGAGTGGGAAGAAGAAAATTCCATCCTGGAAAATACTTGGAGGGTGAGAGGGGAGGGTGAAATATGACCTAAAAAGCAATTTAAAAGTCAAAAGAAATATGCTGTTACTCCCTTTTTTTTTTTTCCCCTCTCACAGATTTTTTTTTTGAGGTTTCATAGAAGTTTAAACAAACTCTTTCTATACAGAAAAGTATATCCTGTTGCATAACTATGTGGATCCTGCCCTTACTATGGAACTGTTACTCCTAAGAGGTGTTTTATATACATTCTTCTCTTCTGTATGCTTTACCTTCTTTGTCTTAACTGTCATTTTATCTCTTTTTGCTGCTTTTTCTGCTCCTCTCACCCTCAGCCTTGCTTCTTCATCTCTACCCCTGTGCTTCTTGCTCCTCTTGACCATGTTGTTGTGCCACTTCACAGTGCTTTGCCCTTGCCACTTTCTTCCCAAAGCTCTCTTTTTCCTGCCAAAGATATTACCTCACGGCTCTATGTTTAATTATATTTCCTGTTCTCTGCTACAGTGCATGCCAATGACCCTTAGCTCGTGTGGTGCCTCCTGATTTTAAAATCTGTAGGCAGCTGTAGCAAGACTCTGTGCTTCAAGCTGAAGGAGGTTCATCGACCTCCTTCCCACCACCCCCAAAACAAAACCAGGGTAGTGTTATATTGAAGCTTGTTATGGAAATCTTAAAATCTGGGATTTATTTATAGTGCCCCAGACAGAGCAGACTAAGTGTGCAATTTGAACCAATTCAGTCTGAATCAGTTCAGCAATTTGCTTTCGGGGAGCTTGCACTGAGGTCACTGCTTGCACATCCAGAAGGGAGAGGTGGAGTTGTGACATCTGCATTCACAAGGAATGCGGAGCCCTGGGCTTCTCCTGATAGGATGCACTCGATTTGTACATCACCTGCTGCAGCTTTTGCAAACTGGCATCTCTGTGTTTACTGGCTTGAAGTATGGCATAGGAGCTGTGAGTATGACTTTGTTTGCTTTTTGAGTAAGTAGGTTTTAACTAGAGAAGGAACAAAAGCTTCTAGAATTTCTATTTCAGATGCTTCACATTTCTCCTACATCATCTTTCCTGGTAGAAAAGTACTCTAATAATATAGAGGATGTTCTTTTTTCTCCAGAAGAATAATCTATGGTGTTGGCTAGGGTTTCTCATTGGAATTAGCTGTCATCTAGGTTTGAAAAGGCTCTAGCCATTGCGTCTAATTTAATAACTTAGTATTAATTTGAAGTAGTCTTACTACCTGTTGTAGCACATGTCCTAACATTTCCTCTGAGCTCTGAATAGATACATTAGGAGAGCCTTCCAGAAGGTGATGCAAGGTGAGAACTTCATTCTTTTCAGCTCTTTTTTGAGGGAACCTGGGTTGACCACTTCTAACTTAGGTACCTGTCAGGTGCTTGGAGCTAGAGAGGAATGTTAACTGTGACTGTACATGATTCATATGTGGGTAAAAATCAAATCTGTAGTGTTCTCTACAGTTTGTAACATTCAGTTTGAATTCTGAGGTGCATCAGATTATCTCACAGAATGGATATGCTTGTTACGTGAAGCAAATTTCATCCTAAGTATTTTGCACCAGAAGCATATGTGGGTCAGGCAGTTTTGCATTCTCCATATTCCACTGCTTTTCCAGTGCATGCCATCACAAATTTTAAGTCATGTGCTGCACATATGACAGCCCTTTTGCAATGAAGGGCAGATGCCTCATTTTTTGTAATTGCTTGTGCACTCTGGCTGCAACTAGCGGCTGTATCTTGGAGACATGAACCTCATCTGTGGTATAAGAGGACTCTGACTTCTTCCCTCCCTCCCTGGCCCTCAAGTGCAGTATGTGTGCACCAAATTGCATGAGGGCATGGCCATCCCACTGTAAAATCAGATGTGCCCCTCCGCACGTACTGCGAACATGGCCAGCCTTAATCTGAGTGCATTCAGTTCAGTAGCAGTTTCTTCCCTCATACTCAGATTTTTGTTCCATGATCAATGACCAGTCTTGCCTTTTACGTAGTTTTAGATGTGTTGGTAGTAATTTTGGCTTTGGGCTTCCCTGTAGATTTCTACTGATATGCAAATTAAACTTTTGAAGTTGAAGATTTCTCTCTTTACAGACTTAATTCAACACTGTAGCTACATTTGTTTCTTTACTAAAACAATTGTTTTCCTAAACTTTTGTTGAATTCTAATGAGGAAAATGTGCTGACAGCATTCACACTGAATTTACATATGGGTAAGTGTGAATTAATTGAGGGCTGGCGATTCCAGGCTTCTGGGGCCTGCCATAATTATATTCTATTCCAGGCACCCAAGATTAATTCCTAACAGAAACTAACTCAGTGCTGGAGGGAGATGGAGATTAGTACGTCTCTGAGGTTTATCCATTGAGGCATGGCTGGCGTGTGCTGCCATCCTTAGGAGCCCCTTGATCCGTCATGGAGGCCTGGCTGTCAGCAGTGTTTTAAAATCTGGTTCTCTGTGTTTATCAAAATTCAGGATTTAAAGCACTGGCTAGAGCCAGCAGTAGTGCCAGCAAGCTGTCCCACTGCATTGGCTGGTGAGCCACACTTCTGCCTCCTAGCTCTGCTGTGGTGCAGTGCTAGACTGCTCTACTGCCCATGTGTTCAGCTGTGCCAAGTGGAGGGGGCACTTTGTGGTGTTAGGTAATACATTTAACTGAATTAAAAGGAATGAATTTGACCT